GTATTTGCACTCCGAGCATCTTCTTTCTATGATGACCTTAGTGCGATCATGCGCTTGCCCTTTACCTTAACCAATTTCCCACTTGCTGTCAAAAACTTCAACTCCTCTGACAACAACCACTTGAAATTTGGCGATGCCCAGCACCAGCAGTGGTCTTCAATATACAAAACAATAGAAGTCCTGTTAGAATCAGTGGGCTCCTTCAAATTGGTTATAGCTTCCTATATAAGATTATCCAACATTTATGATGCTTTTTTTTCAGGCCTGCCATCTGCAATGTGTCAGTACTATTAAAGATTGCAAGAGTTTTGGCATCATCACTTTGAACTACCGTACTGAGCGCCATTGTGTTATGATCATGCTTTGGGATCTGTTGGCTCCTTTTGAATTGCTAATCTAAGCCTTCTCCTTGAATCCCCACCCATTTGCCATGAAAACAGATTCCTCCATTTGTCCTGTCCTTCAGATCCATTTGAATGCAAAGCCAATGGGTCTTTCAATATTGTGCTCCATGTTTCTTAATCCCAGCCTTTAAGGGCAATTCCTTCTTTTGWGATTCATTTCTTTGGAGAACCCATTAGGAGAAGGCCAAAAATCTTTTTAGGTCCACCCACTAACATATTGAATAGTCATTAAATGTCTTCTTTTTTGTTCTTTTTGAAAATTTGAAATAAAATGAAGCACAAGGTATGTTTAAATCCATTTTAAAATTTAAAGTATGTTTAAATCTAGGGGTGCAAATGAGTCGGATCATGGTCCGATCCTATTTGGTTGAATTTGGATCACCCCTGTTTAGATCTTTGGATCAGATCGGATAATAGGATCCAATCAGAAATCAGATTAGATTTGGATCACCCCTATCCGATCTGGGAATATCCAACTTACCAATAGGATTTGAATTCAAAKCGAAGCCTATCATATCGGATCAGAACTTTGGATCAGATCAGATCTAACATAAACAATGTCATAGGATTTGGATATACCCTGATTTAAATCCGATCTAATCYGTTTGCATCCCTATTTAAATCAATTTCTAAAAACTAAAGGTCAAGGTAARTTTAAGTCTTTTACGGTTTTACCATTTTTCTTTTTAAATCTCCTAGGCTTGGCAATACGTCTGAATCCCATCTTTCATCAAAGGGAAAATCTATAATGCTGGAAAGACATGGTACCCCAAAAGTTTTGACCAATCAAAATCCACCCATGAATTTCAATAAATTCCACTTGATTGGTTAACATGTTTATGATACCGGTTGGTCACAATTTATTGTTAGAAAAAAAAAAAAACCAATCATTAAGAGTGCCCAAATTCATCACACTCAGTCTCACACAACTATAGAATCCAATCCCATAAATAATTTGCATAAATTTATCACTCACACAACTATAAAACCCAATCTCACAAGTAATTTGCATACAAGATAGACGGAATTGAATGTGAATGCTGTTTTCATTTTCCCTCGTCAAATTTCCACATATAGTTGCTGAATGAAGGCTGCGTTTGGTTTGAAAGAAAGAATAAATCTGTAATGCCAGAAAGAWTTGCTCCCTGAAGGGCTTTGACCAACCAAATATCCCTTTGAATTTCGATAAATACCATCTGGTTGGTTATTACATTTTATAACACCGGTTGATTGGTCACGAGTTTTTCTTCTAGTATCATGCCTTTCTGGTGTCATAGTTGAACCCAATAGGAAAATAACAGAAAAACAAGAATTGAAAAAAGTTCTTAAGGCTCAGTTTGGGAGGGGTATAAATACATAAAAAATAATACAAAATACATTATTTTGCACTCTACATATTTGTTTTTATACTCCTTCCAAACTGAGCCTAAAGAATTTCACAGATTTTCTCAAGTATTCTTGCTCTGGTATCTACTTGATAATATTAAAATTAAGGTGATATTAATACATTATTCTGCACCAGAAAAGGACTTTCCTATTTTTTGGCATAGCCTACATTACATTGTGGATTTCTTGATACCAATACTGTATCCAAGGTTCAAAATATTACATCGTACAATATAATATCGATTTTGAATCTACCGAAATGATATTTACAAGGATCTAGGGCGTTTTCAAACATTACGACACATCCTATGATGTTTTATCATTGAAAGACATCATCATCATCATCCATGCCTTATTCCCAACTATATGAGGTCGATTACATGAATCCTGTTTCGCTAATCAATTTTATGTAAAGCCATATTGGCATATCTATTGTTAAATATGCATAAATCATTTTCTTACCACTTCTATCCATGTCCTTTTTTGTCTASCCAAGCTCTTCTAACCCCTTTAACCTGTGACAAATCACTTCCTAAAACCAYGAGTTAATTAAAAATAGAAAAAAAAGCCATCATTAAAAGTATCAATGAAAGTGGGATACTTGCAGTACAGGTGACTCCAAAAACCGATACCTATTAGTCAACATGCACCAATACCTCTCGATATTTTGAACCTTGCCCATCACTTGAATGCTGAGCTCTTCTTTCAACCTTGCGGCTGCGTTTGGAAACGATGCAAATGGAGAAACAAATGTATGCTGCAGGAGAAACATACTAATCCCAACCACCAGCCGAGATAAAGCAATATATCAAATATAACCATCTAGCTTTGATAATAGTAGACTACCATGTTKGCTTTAACAAGTTTCTCTTAGAGAAACAAACACAAAAAGAGGTATTCCATGCAAACAGCCTTTTTATAAATCTTCCTAGCACTGATAAAGGTTCTATGTAGCTGTTTTAGCATCATATAAGGATATGCCCAGAAGAAAATAGTGAYGTGACTATGATGCTGGCTGCCAACTCCTCACCCAATCTGTCAAAGTGGCAACGTTGTTACTTATGTCATCAACGCAGTTGCTCTGCATTGCCACCACAATGTCCTCTTGGTAACTTTCTTTTGCCTCTTCCAGCAACACTTGAAAAATTTCACATTCAATATTGTTTGTAAGCTTTCGGCCCATGTAGCCTCTGCTGTGCATGTAAAATTCTAGCCATTAAGGTGGAACCAGAGAGGAATGAATAAAAGAAATAGAGAGGTACAAAGTTGTCACCTGTTGCTCAAGCGATCATACAACACTGAATTGTCAGTTTGAAGGACCACTACATGATCAAACCAACGTTCAGGGAAAAAATCACAACCATGGTAATCTATAATGTTTCCCCCTTCTTCCATCAAGTCCTCAAGCTCATCACACACCTGAAATAATTACTTCTCATTATTTGATGCATTAGAGAAGTAACCCCATGGAGGTGAAAGATAACTTTGGCTACTCCAAGATCCAAACAAGCTATGTTACAGATGATTAATGGTTGTTCATATCTAATTTGTAAATTCTAAGAAAAAGTAAAGACCATTAAGTTTTAGAACAGGATCCACTAGAATTTGAATGATCATTGTCAAAAGTAAATAAAGAGAATAGCTTCCAAGCAGTCTTCATTCATTACTAATTTGGGGCAACTAATAGATCAAATTAAAAGAAGAAACCAAAATGAGTCAATTCAAAATTGAATGTTTACAAAAYATAGTGAAGCTGTGGGGGTTCACTTTCCAAGTAAAAAAAAAATATTGAAGGGACATTGAGAATCTATGCACTGTCTCTAAAGTAGAGGAGGAATCCATCCCACATCTGCTGGCTGCTGCACTGCCATATAGATATGAAATCTGATCTCATTCTCAACTGTTCAGAAGATTGGGTACATCCAGGAATCTTCAGTGCTAATTTCTTCCTGATGATTTAGGGATACAGTGGCACTACCGCACTAGCACCATTTTTTGGAACTTACTTTCATTTTCCATGTATTAGTGTGTTAGACACAACATTACCTTTAATAGGAGTTCATGTCCTGGTGTTTCTTCTTGGGTGGATAGAAAGACCATCTATTTGTTGGTCTGTCATCCTAAAAGATATCTAGGGTCTAGCTACAATCACTTTGGAGATCATCATCAACTATATGGGATTGGCTACATGAATCCTGTTTCACCATTCAGTTCTGTTCRATGCCAAATCCATTGTTAAATTATGAGTGCTTAAATCATTTCACACTACTTCAATCCATATCCTTTTTGGTCTGCTCCAGTATACATGGGAAATTTTTTTCAAGTACATCTAGAATTGTTTTTTTTTTTTGAAAAGGTAAGGTAAATTTATTAGACTAAACTTTGAGAGTACAAACAGAAACCTGCCAACAAGGCAGGCCTGGGGACCCCAATTACATTTACATGTTTGAATTCTGGGGTAACTGAAATCCAGGATATCAGTTTACTAACAGCCATCTGTACTTATTCCTCAGGCCTTCTCACTTTATGATTAAATATTCTGTTTCTCTCAGACGAAATAGMCCAGAGCACTGCATCCGGGATAGAAGTCCAGACCAGCTTCCCTCTTTTCTTCAAATTACTGATCTTCCAGCTACAGAGCATATCCTTAACAATTTTTGGCATGACCCAACATATCCCCACAGCCTTCAAGAAATGGTACAACACCTGGGCAGCAATCGGGCAGTGAATACAGAGATGGTCCGTAGACTCTGGATGTGTTTCACAAAGAGAACAAGAATTATCAGGGATCTGCAAGCCTTTTCTTTCTAGGTTAGTKCTGGACAGGCATTTATTTAAAGCCATGGTTCAGACAAGGAAATTTACTTTTGAAGGACTAATTGAATTTCAAACCTGCATAGAAGGAAAGTCCCTCACTGCTACTCTACTGTTGAGTCTATTGGCCATTGATTTTACTGACAAACTACCCTCATTGGACCAAGTCCAAAATTCCAAATCCACTGGTCATCCTGGTTAAAGTCAATGCTCTGAACCTGTAAGGTTTCCAGCAAGCTCATAGCTTCTTGTACTTCCCAATCAAAAAGGCCTCTTCTGAACTGGGGGACCCAAGTCACCTCATTACCCGAGACTGTATAAATCAGCCACTGAAGTATGCTGGTTGGAAACACACTGATAGAGAAGGGGAAATTCTTCAGCCAAAGGCAAGCACCAATGATCCTTCCAGAATCTAACCCTGTCCCCTCTGCCTACTTTAAGACTGATACCCCCTTCAAACAAGGGAGCCTCATTATGCTTTTCCATAAAGAGCAGCCCCAGTTAGGAAGAGGATCTCTTGTTCTCCAGTTTCCCCAATCAACCCCAAATTTGGTAGCTATCAGGCTTCTCCACCAGATACCCCTTTCAGTGGCAAATCTCCAGATCCATTTGCTAAGCAAAGCCAAATTAGTCACATTAATTTTTCTCAAYCCCAGACCCCCTTCCTCCCTAGGGAGACATATTTGATCCCAAGTCACAAGGTGGATCTTCTTTTCTTCCTCCCAACCTCTCAAGAAATTCTTTTGGAGAGTCTCTATTCTATTTGCCGCTTTTGATGGGATAGGGAAAAGGGAAAGAAAATAAGTAGGAAGGTTGGAGAGGGTACTTTTTAGGAGGGTCACTCTTTCACCAAAAGAAAGGTATTTTGCCTTCCATGATGACAGTTTCTTTTCCAATCTTTCGATTATAGGATCCCAAATGGCTGAAGAAGAGCATTTAGCTCCCAATGGAAGGCCCAGATATTTCATCGGAAGCAGTTCCACCCGACAAGCCATAACATTGGCACACTCTTCCAAGTTAGGAACCTGACCCACTGGGGTGATTTGGCTTTTGTTGAGGTTAACTTTCAAACCTGTCACTACTTCAAATCAACTGAGAATCCCAAGAAGGTTTTCCAACTGCTCCTGAGAGGCATCAATAAAGCATAAGGTATCATCTACAAATTGAAGGATATTAACTTTTTCCTCCCCTGGGGAGATTGCAAAYCCTTCCCACAAACCAGAATCGGCTGCCTTCTGACTAAAGAGAGCTAGAATTTCAGCAATACAAATAAAGAGAAGGGGTCTCCCTGCCTAAGCCCTCTAGAACTCTCAAAGAAACCTGCTGATTGGCCATTTATCAAAATAGAAAAACTTAGGAGAAGACATACAAACTTTCATCCAGTTTCTCCACTTTTGCCCAAAATTCATTTKTTTCTAAAACTCACCCAAGCATCTCCAATTAACATGGTTGTAAGTTTTTTCTATATCCAGCTTACACACCAAACCAGGAATCCCCTCTCTTCCTAGAGTCAATCAACTCATTTGCAACTAGAACCGAGTCAATCATTTGCCTACCTGGAACRAAGGCACTTTGAGTGTTTGATATCACACAATCTAACACCTCCTTCATTCTTTCAGCTAAGACTTTGGCCAGAATCTTGTAGAAGTTGTTCAGAAGGCTTATTGGCCTAAAGTCTTTTAAGTGCACAGCCCCTTCARTTTTGGGAATAAGAATGGTAAATGTATTGTTCAAGCTCCTTTGCAGAGAAGCACTTGTGTGGAAGGTTTGAAAAGCATTTAGAATATCTTGCTTCACAAAATCCCAACACTTAACATAAAACATGTTGGAGAAATCATCAGGCCCAGGAGATTTTTCATTGTCCAAATTGCTGATTGCCAACTTAATCTCCTCCTTAGAAAATGGTCTTTGAAGGGAGCATCTTTGATCTTCACTCAACCTTTTAAAAGGAAGGTTTAGGGGGAAAGGTCTGCATTTCCAACTTTCTTTATAAAGATTTTTATAAAAAGAAGTTGTAATTGCTTTGATTTCTGCAACTGACTCACCCACCTTATCATCCCAAATAAGCTTGCTAATTGATGAGATTCTGTTTCTAGCATTTGCCAACTTATGGAAATAATGAGTGTTCCTATCCCCTGCTTTCAGCCATTTTGATTTGGCTCTCTGTCTCCACTTCAATTCCTCCTTGACTGCCAATTTGTCAAATACAGCCTTTGCTTGGGCTTTTTTCATTCTTAACTCTTTGGGCCTGCTTCCTATGCTCTGTCAATTTCTTCAATTAGGCTAAGGCAAGCTCTCTTTTCTGTTTCTGAGTTCAGATTATTTTCCACTTTCCAGATTTTCAATTTTTCCTTAACTGCACCCAACTTTTTTGCTAAAACAAATGAGCTAGACCCCTCCACCTGCACTTCACACCAAAATGATCTTAATAACGGAAGGAAGTCAGCCTCTTCAAACCATGCATTCTCGAACTTAAAAGGTGCTTTGATTCTGTTCCTACTGCCACAGATCAGTTGGATTGGAGCATGGTCTAAGACAGGTCTCGGAAGGATCACTTGCTTGAAATCAGAGAAGTAAAGCTTCCTCCCACTAGAGGTAGATCAATGAGCTTCAAATTGTTTACAAAATTAGCAAATAAGCTCATCCCCCTTGATCTCCTGCCTCTTACATTTTTTCTTCAACCGACAGAGTGATATAGAAATCCCCTCCAATTACCCAAGGGCAAGAAGTAGAGCCTCTCACCTCTGCTAATTCTTCCAAAAATAAGTTCCTAAGGTTTGCTTCAGTAGGACCATACACATTAGTCACTTGACATAGGCTTCCATTAGCAAGTTCCATTATGAGAGAGATGGAAAAAGAACCCACCCTATGTGAAATCACTCTACACACAGTTGGGTCCCAAGGGATGGCCAAGCCCCCAGCACTGCCCCTTGCCGACTTAGCTCTCCACCTCACCTGACCCTCCCCCCAAATACTCCGGACTATCCCTGCATCCATAGATTCCAGCTTAGCCTCCTGAAGCATAGGAATCTGAATTTTGGCTTTTTTAACAACCTCACACACTACTAACCTCCTTCTGCCCGACCCCAGCCCTCTAACAATTCAAGACAATATTTTTAAATCCATCAACAACTTGACAGATAAAAAACCAACCACCTCCCTTTCTACTTCTTACTCCCTCTCACCCCCCCCCCTTCGTAGCTCACCGCCCTGTCATTTTGCCTCCAATTTAATCTCATCATTTCCTTGTTCTTTTTTGAAGCAGTGCCCCTTTTTTGGCTGCTAATTTTCCCCTTTCCATGAGAATTCTATACTCAATTCCCTCCATGAATGTAGTTGTTTCTTCCTTCAGACCCTCTAACGAAACTCCCAAAAATTTCCCTAACCCCAATAATTTTGAAGAAACCCAAGAAGAGGAAGAAGATGGTTTAAAAGACCTTCTTCCTGTGTCGCCAAGGTTACACCTTTTCCTTTATTGACGATGGGTGGGGTATTTCCATTCACTTGAAAAGTTTCTTTATGGTTAATTCCCGGATTAGCTATCAGCTTCTTTCTCTCTTGCGCGGCAGATTGGTTCTTCTTCTAGTTAGATGACTCAAACACTGCTATCGGCTGCACCTCCATAGGTTCCTCTTCCACCTGAATAATAGAGAGTTGGTTTGAAGTCAGTCTTCAATCCTCTGAATCTTGCCGCAACGACTGGTTAGGAGTAGAGATTAAACCAAATTCTTCGTCTGTATTCTCCAAGGTGAAGGAGAGAGGGTTGGACCTTCGCTTTATTGGAGAAGAGTGATTACCTGACCTTCTCTGGGGTTGGCTAAGCCACCGGGGTCCGAGATGAACCTGATCGCTCTTGACTTGCTCCTGCCGAGGTAATCTGGGTTCCCTTAGGGCTTTCCCAGCTTGAATGGTTTCATTTACCCGCACTGGGTGAGAAACTGGGCAGTTTCGATGTGGGTTTTGGGTTTGGGTATGCTCCACTGTGATCGGGTGTATTTGGAGATTCTCTTCTAACACCTGTCTCCTATCCTCCGAGGCTGCCAGTTTGTCCCCCACTACCTTCCCCCTTTGTATCTCCTCAATACATTCTTTAATTAAAGTCTTTAGTTGGTCCACCACCATAAATCCCCTCTCTTGCGAAAAGTTTAAAATTTGAATCTCCCCCTCTTGGTATTCCCAAGGCACCATCTTGACCGTGTCTGTGTACAGATCTGAYGGTTTGTATTCCCCACCTCTTCGTCTTTCTCCTCCTCCCTTTCACTGACCTCCAACAACCAAGACCTCTGCAACTTCCCAGATTGGATCGTTATGGACAGAGTCAGAATCCGATTCCGGATAGAAGCATCCAACACTTGCCCCCCACCAATCGAGAAGAAGCTGATTTCTTCCCATCTGCAATGGGTCGTTTCTAAGTATCCAATCCGCTTCATCTTTCGACGGGAAGATAAATAGGAAGAGATCGTCCACCATTTTCTTTATCTTTACACCTCCCACCTCCCTCCGTATTCTCTTCACCCAATCCCCAACTTCTCTAATCCCTACTCCCCACCGGGATCTCCCCACAAGGCAGCCTCTTAGAAACTCTCTTCTCTCATCTACCCCCTGTTGATCTATGAGCACCACCAGATTGTCGCCACACTGTTTCAGCTCTGCTGCACCATACTCTGGCCAAGCTCCTGCTGCCG